TTGCTGCTGCTTCTGTTGCTGCTCCTGCAGCTGCAGCAGCAGCAGCAGTATCGTCGCAACACCAACAGCAAGAAACTCACTGCTGCTGCTGCTTGGGGTCCTCAGCTGCCCGCATGCCTGCAGACAGGCGCAGCCCCTTGTAGGGGCCAATCCTTCGCCGCCGCAGCAGCACGAGCAGCAGCAACTGCAGCAGCAGCAGCAGCAGCAGGAGCAGCAGAAGCAGCAGCAACAGCAGCAGCTGCTGCTGCTGCAGCAGCGGCCGCAACAGCAGGTTGTGTGTCTCCTTCTGCTGCTGACGCAATGGCACAGAGAGATGCCTTTCCAGTTGCCTACTACGGTAAAACCCTAAACCCTAAACCCTAAACCCTAAACCCTCGACGATTGCTTACCACCCTACAAACCCTAAACCCTAAACCCTTCCCTGCTGCTTACCACAGTACAAACCCTAAACCCTAGACCGGAATGTCTATCACCCTCAAGCTTGCGCCTTCTTCTCGCCGAGGGTTTAGGGTTTAGGGTTTAGGATCCGTGCGGTGCTGTTGGGGGTGTCGTGAGGTCTTTAGGGTTTAGGGTTTAGGGTTTAGGGTTTAGGGTTTATGTGTTGCAGATGAGGGCGACCTGTGGCCGCAGCTGCAGCCAGCAATAGAGCGGCGTCTGCCTCTGGAGCCGTTGNGCAGCAGCAGCAGCAGCAGCAGCAGCAGCAGCGGCTGTGGGGTGTATTTATCTTTTGAGCAGGAGTCTCTCTCTGTCTCCTCTTCTCCTGCTGCTGCAGCAGCAGCAGCAACAGCAGCAACACAAGGCCCCCCTGCTGCACTTGCTGTTGCACACAAAGCAGCAGCTGGGGCGCTGGCGTCACTGGGTGTGAATGTTGCTGCTGCCTCGCTGTCTGCTGCTGCTCCTGCTGCACCTGCAGCAGCAGCAGCAGCAGCAGCAGCAGCAGCAGGAGCATCCGTGTCTCCTAGCTTGTTGTGGAATGCTGTAGAACGTCCCTTTGTGCATCTGCTGCTGCTGCAGCAGGAAAGCATTGAGGTGTATAGGCAGCAGCAGCGGCGGTTGCTGCGATCGTGGATAGAGAGACAGACAGAGCAGCACAATGAGTGGCTGCTTGTTGCTGCTGCTCCTCTCAGCAGCAACGAAACTCTGATGAAGCAGCAAAAAAAATATATAGATAAAATAAGAACAGACATCAGCAACAAAGACAGGGTGCTGCGGCTACCCCTGGGATCGATCGATCCCAGCCACACACAACTCGCTGAACAGCTCTGGAGGGTATGCTGTCTCCTCAACACTCAGCTGTCTCCTTCAGCTGTCTCCTNCAACTCGCTGAACAGCTCTGGAGGGTATGCTGTCTCCTCAACACTCAGCTGTCTCCTTCAGCTGTCTCCTTCAGCTGTCTCCTCCAGCTGTCTCCTTCAGCTGTCTCCTTCAGCTGTCTCCTTCAGCTGTCTCCTTCAGCTGTCTCCTCACTACTCAGCTGTCTCCTTCAGCTGTCTCCTCACTACTTAGCTGTCTCCTCACTACTCAGCTGTCTCCTCACTACTCAGCTGTCTCCTCAACACTCAGCTGTCTCCTCAACACTCAGCTGTCTCCTTCAGCTGTCTCCTTCAGCTGTCTCCTCACTACTCAGCTGTCTCCTTTGACTGTCTCCTTTGTTTCTTTGTTTTCTTTTTGTTTTGCTTCTTTTTGTTTTTGCTTTTTTTTTTATTGTTCTTGTGTCTCCTCACTCCTAAAGGGTCTGTCTCTGTTCTGTTTCTTTGTGCTGTCTCCGCCTTCTGTTTTTTTCTGTCTCTTTTCTGTCTCCTTCTCGGTTTGTCTCCTTTGTCTCTCTTCTGCTTCCTTTTACTGTCTCCTTTTTATTTCTTTTGTCTCCTCGTTGGTCCCCCTCTATCTCTGTTCTATCTGCAGCAACGGAGACAAAAGGAGACACTTGAGCCCCTCACCTGTCTCCTTTTGTCTCCTTTTTCTGTCTCTTCTTTTTCAGGCTTTTCTACTGAGACTGAGGGAGGCGCTAGCGAGTGCCGTTGAGTACCGCATGCTGCTGGCAGAGGATGTGCTGCAGCGCCTGCAGCAGCAGCAGCAACAGCAGCAACAGCAGCAGCAGCAGCAGCAGCAGCAGCAGCAAAGTGCAGGCATACTTGCAGCCAAAGACGCTCTCGCCTGTCTCCTAGGGAAATGCGGTCGATACGGGGAGGCCCTTCAGGTGCTTGATTCATGGGTGGCTCCGCGTCTGTCTCCAGCAGCAGCAGCAGCAGCAGCAGCAGCAGCAGCAGCA